ATGATGCGTGTGCTAAGTGAGTGAACATCAAAGATCACACAACAGAAGTGCACGCGCTCTCTCTCTCCCTCTCTCTCCCCCCCTACCATTAAGTAACTTGTGCATTGTTTTACTTACTTGTTTATGACATATCCAACCGAACTACAAACTTTCCAGTGATGTCTGTGAGAAAGGTATATTCACTCGACAAACTCGCGCATCTGCGCTGCCGCGTGCTCAATCCACTCAGCGTGATTTGCTTATCATCTCGCACACATCAGCTATACAGGCGTTAATACTGAATGTTTAACATTATATTCATTGCATACATATACTTCGTATACATCCTTAATCTCAAATAACTCCATTCTGCTGTCTGTTGTTCTGTTGTCAGTGTTTCTTTGTATGAATATGGCACTTGTCACATGTTGTGTGGTATCGGCATTTGGTATTGGGGCATTTTAACGAGTACGAGTACAGAAGCTCGGTATCGGTGCATCCCTAACTGTAATAATTCCAAACTTTTTATGTGTATCTAGGAATGGTTTGTTATCTTCAGAGCTAATTCAAAACAATTCATCCTTCAAAGAAACACAAGGCTACTCCTGTTCGTAAATCAGCAGCGGGGCAATTCTGGTGCTGCGGCGTGGCTTGGACATTGTCTTTGGTTGTTAAAGTAACATGACTTTGCCTCACTCAACAGAAATTAAGTGCATGAGCATCCCTGATGTTGATCCACAGCATAAAGCACTGATCTCTCCTTGGGTGCGATTCTTCATCCAACCTTTAGGGGATGGCGAAATGTTGCCTTTTCTTTTTGGGAGAAATGTGCTAATGTTAGCTTTTACATAGTTGTCTTTACAGCACAATATTTGTTCTCTTTCGCTTTGATTCTTTGCAACCAACGGAGAGTTTGGTCTTTATCTAGCAAGATGTCTAGGGGCACCGACTTTAATATCCGCATGAAACTTAAGTCTTCCTACTCATGCAAAGTATCTTGAAAGGAAACAGTTTTATTTTCTGCTAGACAGTGCAGTGGGAGAGGAGAGTCACATGAAACTTGCATTTTGCCTTAACCAATCGAGTGAATGTCGCCCCCTGCTGGATTACATAGACTAGTTGAGTGCAGAACAGAAACAGCTCATAAGCCTTAAACAGATCTAACCATTCACAGTAATTGAACTAACCCATCGAATGCCAGAACGTGTTCAGTCTGGCTGAGGAGAATATATATATAATTTATTTACGCACAGAGGAATCTGCAGTCTATTGGTTTTTGTTTTCTAACAAATGTCAGATTTAGCAAAATTGATGTGTGCCGTTTTTGTATGGATGTTTTGAACGTCATGTTACATATTGATAAATATTGACTGAGGAATAGTTTTTTCCTTTATCATTTTTATTCCATGTTTTCGTGTCTTGCATTGGAGGGAAATGTTGTTAATTGTCTTAAAATTAGGAGATTTTTTTCAGAAATGAACACAGTGTACCTATGAGATATTATGAGCATGAATTAAGAAAAAAAATATTAAGAGATTTAACATTTGCCACACAAAACTTATGCTGTAAGCATGTTAAATATTGCACTAAGATGGCATACATTAAACACAGAGATGAATTAATGATAGCTGTAAAACATTTATCGTTAAAATCGTCTTCTAGCGCATTCAATATAGAGATGTTTCATAAATGTTTAAAGAAAATCTTCTCTGTCAACAAAATTGTCTTTTAAATGCTTGACGTTGCAGTTTCTGGTTACGCAACCCATAGTTTTATCAGGTAACAAACTTGATGACTGAACAAATAGGTTGTGTTTTAAAGATGAATGGTGGAACTTGCCTTTTAGGGTGAATCTCACAAAAACGTCACCCCAGAATCAAAAGAAAAAAATGTTTTGCATAAAGAAAATTAGAACCATTAAAGTTATTTGTAATTGTGACATTATTTTCATGAAAATCTGAAGGGAAATGTGCTTAATTTTCACTACTGTAATTATTAAAAAAAAATTTTTTTTGCTTATTACTATATTATTATAAAATAAAAAAAAGGTTTTGTGAGATACATCTTTTGATGCTGAACTAAGATCAGCTAAGATCAGTTTTTTGGACTCAAAGGGTTTGAACTTAGGGATTTGGACCGGAAAACTGACCTTACAATGGGCATTTACTGCCTGAGAAGGTTTTTTTTATGACTCCTGTGTCATATTCACTGGAACAGGATCTTTTTGGCCTCAGACATCATCTTTGGCTCACAACTCCACTTTATATTGCCAAATGTGCACAAAAGGAAATGTAAGAAGTGCACGAACTCTCTCTTATGCTACCTGGTGGAAAACCGGTTGGCTTTTGTTTTTGTTCACAGCCTTTTTCTTCTTTCTCTAAATCACTGAAAGCATCTCAGTAACAGCCGTGACTTCTCTAGTCCTGTCAGTGTGTATTAGAAAGAGACAGATGAGCTATGCTTAGAGGCAAGCTAGTAAACCCATAACCACTGTATACACACACACACACACACAAACACACACACACTCGCTCACACACTCACACACGACCTGCATGCTCCTGACCTGGGATTTTTCTAACTCTTTAAAACAATGAGCCATTTTTGTAGGAACGTGAACTGTTTGGCATTAGAATACATGTGACTTAACACTGATAGAACAATAGCTTTATTATGCGACAAGCCACTGTTTTTATTTTATTTTTTCCAAGATGGGATTGTGAGTCTATTTCTCTTCATTTTGGGAAACTGTGCTTCTGTTCGTGTCACACGGGGGGAATAGGCCGATTCTGTTATCGGATAGTCATGGATAGGCAATACATCAGTTTACTCCTCTGGTGTGATGTTAGCTATTAGCTCTTACCTGCAGTAAAGTTGTTTGTAACATTGAACTAAGTTTTTGTTGATTTGTTTGATTTTTATATTTATGATTTCATATGTATCCTGTTTTTTAAAGTAATAAAATGGGGAAAAAAATGACAATGTTTCTTCAGATGTGTCAGATGTTCGAACAGACTTCACCCTGGAAAGCTGAAGTGAAAGTTTATTTTTTAAAGTTTTTTATTATGTGCATTTTTTGGCTTTATATCATATTAGTCTGTGAACTGTGCATGGTGCTGATAGTATAGGCATGCATGTGATATATTTACAGTAGAAGTGCAGTAGAAAATCTTTAAAAACTAAAAAAACATAATAAAAGTCTCCAAATTTAAAAACCATTCAAAGGCTTGTGGTTGGTAAGTTTTCTAAAAAGTTGTTGAAAAAAGTCTTCTCATCAATGCTGCATTTGTTTGATAACAAATACAGTAAAACAGCAATATTGTGAAATAATATTACAATGTAAAATACCTGTTTTCCGTTTTAATATATTTTAATTGCTGTGATGGCAAAGCTGAATTATTTAGCATCATTCTAATATACTGATTTGCTGCTAAAGATGTTTCTTATTATCAATGTTATAAACAGTTATGCTGCTTAATATTTTAGTGGAAAACTTGACAAGCCTTTACTATCACTTTTGATCAATTTAATGTGGCCTTGCAGAATTGAATTATTAATTAATTTATAATTATACATATTACTGACCCCAAACTTTTGAACAGTAGTGCTTATGCATATCAGTCCAAATAAATAGGGCCTCAACATGCCCAATACTAAGATCAGTGCTGCTTTCTTGCTGATAAAATGACCATTTTGGTCAAACCATTTATGCTGTGTCTTTGCTATCATTTCCTCACCTTCATATCATTCTGATAAAAGCACTAAAAAGTTGCTGATGGACAGATTTTTTTTTTTTTTGCAAATGATATTTGTGTTTGGTCTTTTCCTCGTCATATATCCACTCATTATATAGCTTTGGAAGACTTGGAATATGGTTAAATAGATTAATTTATTGTGCCATCTCCATTCACTTTCATTAAATGGAAAAGAACTTATACTTGTGGGTTTGGAACAACATGAGGGTGAATAAATGTCGAGGAGTTCTTTTTCTTTAGTGTTTCTCACTCAGCATTCAAGGCTTCAGCACATGCATCAAGAGCTTATGTTTGATGTCTTATACCTCCTCTTCATCCTCACTAGCCAGGGTGTCCAGCTCTTTGTCTTTGCACTGGACTTGTTCAGCTTTGTATGCTTTCCGTAAGTTCTCCAGCTCTTTAATCTCAGCATGGAGGCGTTCCAGATGTGCGGCGCGACGGTTCTGTAGCAGCTTCATGGGCAGTGGGTTCATATCGTTGAAGGCAATGCTTGTCAGCTTCCTGGAGACGAGAAAGACGAGGTATATTGAGATTGAAACTCCAGCGATGAATTAGCTGCTCTGTTTATTTCCTGCAGAAACCTGTGGTTTGGAAAAACTTTCCCCAAGCCAGCTTTTCTTCATTGTTTTTTTGAAACGATGCCATGCACTGGAAACAGGAGTGAGCAGGTGTGTGCACACAGTATATGGGGCATACATTTTAAAATAGCCACACCACAGAGGCATCTGACCCATATTCTGTTTCTAACAGATGCAGGCTGCTTTGTTTTTACTATGGCTCAATTCATTATTTATGGTGATGTCTGACTGTTGCAAAAATAACTACACTGTCACTGTCTACAATACCAGGAGCTCCAGAGAGAAACGGAGATCTGTTGAATTAGTTGCACGTTTATGAAGTAATATATTTACTG